AGTTGCTTCATCTGTAAAATGAAAAGCGTGATCCTAGTGACCTCTAACACCCCTTGCATGTTTAAGTCTGTGATCTTGTCATCTTTTGTTCACAGAGAAATATTAATCCCATTGCACAGGTAAGAAAACAGGCTTAGTGAGTTGGAATGATTTGCCCAAGGTCATAAGGCTGGCCAGTTTGAGACCCAGGACTCTGGACTCCAAGCCTGGTCTTTTTCCCCCAGGATGCTGCCTCTTCAGCTCTCAGCTCAGGCTACATTTTGAAGCAAAGAAGATACATTTTCTCCCTGGAGGCAACCAATCTACTGTTTCCTCCTTGGTCAGAATCCTCCATCCGCCCAGTCAGCCCTTCTGCCTTTAAAGGCACAGGCAGTCACTCTGGTGACCCTGGCCCTGCTTCAGGAGCCTTGGAATAACAAATGTCTTGTGAATCCTCATCAATCTACCTGGCAACCAATAAGTCTGCTGAGGACTCTTGTCCCCTCCTTATCTCCTTTCTTATCCTCCACCTTGTGTCAGGCCTTGTGGGAAAGACAGGAGGAGGAGGGGGCCCAGCTCCCACCCTCTGGGAGTTCCCCCCCCCCCCCCCCCCGTCTGGTTGGGGGATGTGACCAGGCCTTGGAACGTAATGAGGACAATTGGAGAGCAGAAGGATCGTGTGTGAGTCTGGTATTTATATAGGTTCACAAAAGGTGGGAGAAGTCAGGGGAGGCTCCCTAGAGGAAGTAGGACAGGGGAGGGGGAAAATCTGGGCCACAGTGGTCCCCTGGACCATCAGTAACTTGAATCCTTGAAGTGGGCCCCAGGACCAGTGCCATCTCCCCAGCGGCCTGTCGGTGATGGTACACCCCAGCCCTGGGGCTCTCCAGGATACAATCTTCCCACTCTTATTTCTTAATTAATTCAATTGAATTGGGGTTTGGAACTTGGAAGATCAGAGACCATTCTGCCCTATACAGGGGGGACAGGTAGCCAGGGTCACACAGTAGTTTGGGGGAATGATTGAAGTGAGGCCTAGAACTTTGGGGAGGATGAAGGGGGGGAGTGATTCAGCCAGGGCTGGAGTGGCAACAGTGTCTAGGTGCCTCAGGTGACCCTGAAAAACAGCTCCTCTTTGCTCCAGTGGGAGGGTGGTAGAGCCTTTGACTGCATCCTTAACAGAAGCTCTCTTGTTCTCTCACTGAACAATATCCACAACCCCCCTCCCATCCTACCTCTCCCCTTACAGAGGGAAAGCTTGTCTTCTCCGGGCTTGAGGAAGTCATATCTTTTGTGATGTCTCCCTCCTTCCCCCCTCCCTATCTGTTCCCCCATAGTCCATATGTTATGGGGGAGGGGAGGGGACTTGAGGGAGCATCTGTGGGCAGGCTGGCACCGGCTGCCATCTCTCTGCTTGGCATTCATGCTGCGGGTACCGTCTGGGCCGACGGGCCGTCTCCAGGGAGGCTTTGGATAAGAGGGGAGAAGGCTGACAGGCCTTCTGGCTGGCTGATGGGAATCCCAGAGATGGGGATGAGTGCTTATGTGGTCTCTGCATGTGTTCTAGACATTCCTGGCCTTGGAGCTGACCCAGTGCTGAGCACTGTGATTGGAAGCCACCAGAGGTCAGGCTGGGTGACTTTCTTTGTGCTGTATGGTGCCCAGCACCCAGAGGGCAGATGAAGCAGTTTTCCTTACTTTGGAGGATTCCAAGAAGAGCTCTTAGGACTAATTAACCTTCCTAGATAATACTGAAGATATAGGTGGTTATGAGGCTAATCTTAAAAAACAAAACAACAACAAAAATATCTCCTGGCTGCTCTTTCAAGGCACTGATCTCATATGTTGTTCCTCCCCTCCCCTCTCCCTCAAGAATCTATAATGGCTCCCTATTGCCTACTTTGTACTCCATGGTTTGACGTTCAAGTTTCCATCCTCCTTTTCTACTGTTCTCCAACACATTGCCCTCCCCTTCTCTGTTCTCTAGTTTCTTCTCTGTTCTCTATACATACTAGGTTCTTTCTCACCATTGTGCCTTCGCCTATGCTGTTCTCTCTTCTGTTTGATGATTCAGTAACAGCAAGAATAGTAATAATACACATTTATGTAACACTTTACAAAGTGCTTCCTTTACTGCCGTATAGAAGAATAAGTTTCCCAAACCCAAGGGCCCATAACTGCCTAGGGGCAGACCCGAGGGTCAAACCCAGGCTTCCTCTGGCTACTTGAGGAATAGTTTCTTAATCACTGGAGGTGTGGGAAGTAGAATGGTAAGATGACCACTTGGTCAACTGCAATTGTCAAGTGGAGGCTTGATGACCATTTGTCGGGGATGTTGTAGAAGGTATTTCTGCTCGGGCACGGGCTGATGTCGACGATCTCTGGCATCCCTTTCAATTGTGAGAGCCTAAGAACTAGATTGTGCAGTGCACTACGCCGTGTAGTATGGGAAAAAGAGAACTGGTCTGGCTGGCTGGAGACCTGGATTCTGATTCTGGATGGTCAAGATCAAGCCGTGTCTCTTCTCTGGGCTTTGGTTTCCCTATTTGTACCATGAAGAGGGTAGACCAATGGTTCCAAAGGTCCTTCTTCTAGAGGCAGCATGGTCAGTGGATAGCAAGCTGGACCTGAGTCAGGGGGACCTGGGTTCAAATCCTCTTCCTCCTCCCTTCCTTCTCTTTTTCTTCCTCCTCTTTTCCCTACTCTCTTTCTTCTTCCTCCTCTTTTTCCCTCTTTTCCTTTTTTCTTCTTTCTCCTCCTCTTTTCCTCCTTGTCCTCTTCCTCCTCCTCCTCCTCTTTTTCCTTCTCTTTTTTTCTTCTTCTTTCTCTTTTTCCCCTCTTTCCCTTTTTTTTTCTTCTCCCTCCTTCTCTTCTCTCACCACCACATTTAAGCATGGGTAATTCACTTAGCCCTCTCAGCCCCAGATAACTCTCAAAGACTTGTCTACTACATCATTTACAACTTTCTATAGAGGAAGGGTTAATAGAGTTTCCAAAGTCACTTGCCCAGCTGTGCCTGTAATTCTAATGCCTACCGATTCTTGAGGGCCTCTCTTCCTGCCTGGAATTTTCCTTGACCACTCTGAACCTCATTCATCTATTTCCATGAACTTGAACAACCCTTAAATCTGAGGCCCTCACTGTTTTTTATTTCCTATGTACTTAGCACAATGCCTGGAACACTGTAAGTGCGTAATAAATGCTTTATCTCTTGCTATTATCACTTATAATCTTCCAGTTCATAGGATCATGGATTTAGAGCAAGAAGGGACCTCAGGCCATCTAGTCCAACCTCCTAATTTTACAAATGAGGAAACTGAGGCTCAGAAAAATTAAGTGAATTTTCTAGGGTTTCACAGCCAGTAGGTGTCAGAAGCAGGATTCGAACCCAGGCTTTCCTGGTCCCTCTAAATCCAGCATTTTCCAGGGCCATCTCCAATCATCCTGATCTATATCTGGCTACTGGACCCAGATGGTTCTGGAGCAGAGCGTGAGGCTGGTGACTTTGCACAGCTCTCCCTCACTTCAATCCAATTCACTTGGGGGTCACGGCATCACCTCCCTGATGTCATGGTCCTCTTCAATAATGAAGGGTAAACGATAACAACAAATCCAGCATTCTATCCTTTATACCACGGTGAATATTCTTTCCCCAGCAGCACCCCAGGCATCTTCTCCTTTAGGTAGACCTGAGCACACAAGAATGTTTGTTTGCTGAATGGCTAGGAGGGGAAATCTCCGTGTCAGGAACCTTGGGGATGACAGAGACAGTGCAGTAGAATGGAAAGAGTGCTGGCTTTGGAACTAAAGGGCCGAGGTTGAATTCTTCAGGAGCTCTGTGACCTTGTGCGGATCGCTTTCTGATTCTGAGACTCATCCCAGGAGACCTGGAAAGGCTGATTTCTAAGTCGCTTCCAGTTCTAACCTCCCAGGTTCTAGGATGAGATGCAGCAGTTCAAGGTTTCCCAAAGACAGTTTCTTTGTTATGTAACCTGCTGGCTGGAACTGCTGTCATTTTCCTCTGCTTCTAGAAGCTAGTGGGATGTCGCTGACGGGCCTGCCTCGAGGGAGCCTAATCCCGCTCCAGGAACTTGGGGTTTTTAAAAAATATTTTGAAAACTGCATTGAAATAGAATTAGGTTCCTTTGTAACCCCATGTACTTTATTTGCTGCATTTGAGAAAGGGTCTATAGGCTTTATCACATATTGGTAGAGAGAGTCTGCAACCTTGTCTCTGAAGTGATTGCCCATTTATACTGTATAGAGCTTATACATCATTGTTTGTATGTTGTTTCCCTCATTAGATTGTGAGCTCCCTGAGAGCAGAGATCCTGTTTTCTTTCTCTCTTTGTATCTGCAGCACAAGGCTTATGGTGGGCACTTGTTAACTGACATGACAGATAAAAAGGTTAAGAACCCCTGGCCTAAATTAATATTTTAGATAATATTTGCAATGCACTTAGCACAGTGCCTGGCACACAATAGGTGCTTAATAAATACTTAATTCTTTCCTTCCCTCTTTCCTTCCTTCCTTCCTTTTCCTCTTTCCATCCTTCCTTTTTCTATCCTTCCCTTTGTCCTTCTTTCCTTCCTTCCTTTCCTTCCTTCCTTCCTTCCTTCCTTCCTTCCTTCCTTCCTTCCTTCCTTCCTAAAAGTAACCCAGAATCTCAAATAGCAGGCAAAGACAATCCCAAGGTTGGACAGTGGCCCCTTTGACACTATGTTGGCCTGTACTGGGAGAATTAGGGGAAGAGAAATGCCCCCTGCCCTTGGGGAGCTGAGTGAAGAGGAAAGACATGGCCTCCCCAGGAAAGTCAGATGGAATCAATCAGTGAAGGCTTCCTGAGGAATGACATGTGAACATGGTTCAGAACACATCTTTCCTCAATGAGGGATGGGACTGATGTGAGGTGGGGGAGGGGATGCGCCCTTTGTCCTCCCCCTTGGCTTTGTGACACTCAATCTGCTCTCTCTCTTTTCTTCCTCCCTCTAACCTGTCTCTTCTTCTCTGATCTCTGCAGGGCAGGAGAGCTACAGTTTCCCAGAGCCTGAGCCCCACACGGTGCTGTATCACGAGCTGGGCAGTGACTCTGTCGTGGTGGGAGGACGAGGGAAGCTCTACCATTTTGATTTCATCCAGGGGAAAAATGCCTCGTTAGAGACGGTAAAGGCTCTGCTCCCTCTCCCTTGTCCAGGGCAAGTTAGAATGTGCCTTTCTCATCTTTGGCCCCCGATCTCTACTGCCCGCTCGCAGACAACCCCGCCATCTTCTCCTCCAGCTTCTGCCACCCTGAGTGGCCCACTTCCTTCTCTCTCTCTAGTTCGCCTCTCCTCCTTATCCCCTTCCCTCTTTTCCCTCTGCTCCCTCTCTCTTTTCTCTTCCTTTTCTCCTTTCCCACTTCTTTCCTTTTGCTTTCTTCTCCTTTCTTCTGTTAGTTCCCTTCCCTTCCTCTTTCTCTTTGTCTCTCACTTTTCTGGGCTTTTTTCCCCCAGCTCACTATCTTCTCATCTCTTTTTTCTTTTTATCCCTCTCTCCCTCCTGTCTTCCTGTTCTTTCTGCCCACCTTCTCCTTCCTCTCTTCTTCTCTTCCCCCCTCCTTTCCTTTCCTTTCCCTTCTCTCTTCCTTCCCTTCTTTCCCCTCCCCTTCTTTCTCTTCCTTTGCCTCCTATCCCTTTCTTTTCTCCCTGTCCCTTCTTTCCCTTCCCCCTCTCTCTACAGCCTTTCCTCTCATTCCCTCTTTCCCCTTTCTCCTCTTCCTCTCTTCTCCTCTCTTTGTCCTTTCCCTTACCTTCTTTCTCCTCTCCTATCTCCCTACAACCTCTCCTCTCTTCCCACCCTTCCCCTTTCTTCTTCCTCCTCCGGGAAGGGGAAGATCCAGATGAATGTTTCTCATCTGTGCCTCTGCCAAAACCCTCTAGGGTTTCCACAGTTGGTGGGGGAGGGGAGGATGAAACATCTCACTTCTGAGCCCTGAGCCCCTCTGTTCCCTTGGGAGTTGGGAATCGGGTGGGGGTGGAGGTGAGGGTGGGGATGGCTTGGCTTCCCCTCCCTGCTCCATCTGTCATAAATGGTTCTCTGAGAGTACAGCCCTGAACAATAGGCCAAACGGAGGAGCCTGGGGGTGGAAACTGCCTGATATAATTGCACTTAACAAACATTAGCTAATGAGTCCCACCTCTTCTGGTGGAAAGAGAGCCCTAACCTTGGCGGCCTGGGACCTGAGTTCCAGTCTCAGCTAGTGAGCGACTCATGGTGACCACCACTAGGGGGAAATCACTGAGTGCCTCTGGACCTCAGTTTGCATCCCTGGAGAATGAGATTGGGCCTCCTTCCTTGGGAGAAAGAGGGAGATCCCCAGTGTGAACGAGTGCTTTGAACCAAGGAGCTAAAAATGTTCATGTTAATAGGTCTTCCTGTTTACCAAGGGCCCTTCTTTTCTTCGGTGACCCCAGGGAGGAGAAGGCTCTCATGTTTCCCCAAGAAACACAGAAAGGAAATTGGGGCTCTGCCCTCTGGGAGCTCTGGGGTCTGGGACAGGGGGAGTCTTGGAGTCTACTCTCGGAGCTTTGACACTAATGGGTAGATTGGCACTGAGAGGCAAGGGTCTTGCTTAGAATCGGAGACATTGAAAAGATGTGAAACCCTGTAGTTTGTGGCTACTTCCCATTCCCCAGAGATCTCTTTCCACCCCCACTCAGGTAACTTGTTCAGAAAAGCCAGAGAGCCCCTCGGGGTTGGGGTCGAGGGGATGAGAGAGCTGTGTCTGGGATTCAGACCTAAAACTACTTGGCTGTCTGTGCTCTGACCATCAGGTAGACACTGCCCCTTCTTGATCACTTTAGTATGGGCCAATGCTACCTTTGTTCTCTTTCTCTGACACAGGTGGTCTTCGATCCCAATAAATTATTCTGCCAGAATCAGTTGGTGAGTAAGACTGGGTCTTATAGGCTATGTGGGTAGAGAGGGGTGTCCCTAGGAGACAAGCCTCAGCAGCTACCTTCCTACTTTTCTCAGCCTACCTGGTTGCTGTTGGGGTAGGGAGTAGCCTATCCTGTTGCTACTGGAGCAGGGGAGCCCTGTTCTTTGCCCCCACTCTGGGTATAGGTGTCCTTGGCAAGGAAGGGAGCAAATTGCTGGAGAAATGTGTATCAGTTGTCAATGTGGAGAACTGTGGGAAAAGAATCCGAGGGCCTTCTTCTATGAGATATCCTAGATCTTTTTCTAGTGGTATAAGAGGCCCTGACTCTTGCTCCATGGCCTGGTCCCTTGAGGACGGACTAGATAGATGCCTTAGGGTAGGATATGAGGTACCTTTCGTTTTTTTGCTTTCCATGCCTGGCATAGACAAGGAAGAGCAGACTGCCTTCCTCTTTCTCTTTCTGTCAGCCCTTTGGAGGCTTAACCTTATAGAATCCTATAAGTGGAAAGGGCCAGGGAGCATGAATCTTCATTACAATCTCTCTGATCAGTAGCCACCTAACCTCTGTTTAGGCACTTCCTGTGATGGGAGAATTGCTGTCCCTAGATCCTGCCTTTTGGACCAGCTCTAGTTAGGGAAATGATCCCATTTTGTTCATCATAGAACAACCCTCCATGCAGTGCAGGAACCCCCTCTATGGCAAACCTGTGATCATCCTGCCTTTGTTCCAATACTGCTCAGTTACCCAGGAACTAACTCCCTCTCCCACACAATAGTCCTTTCCATTGTTAGATAGTTCTGACTGTTAGGAAATTCTTATGTTGAACAGAAATGCACTTCCAGCAAATTAGGTCTTCTCTCTGGACTCACCGTTTGGTGGCCCCATTGTCTGGGTCCCTTTCCCTTGATCGATGCTTCTTCCTTTGGGATGCTTGCTGTTTTGTGTCAACCTTAAAGCCTCCAAGCTTGTTTTATCTTTGCTAGGACTGTGAGAACTACATCACCCTTTTGGAGAAGCAGAAAGAAGGCTTGCTCATTTGTGGGACCAATGCTCGGCACCCTAGCTGCTGGAATTTGGTGAGGCCACCCTCCCACCTTCAGGCTGGGGGGGGTGGGCTCTGAGGAAAATTTGGCCCATCCTAGCCAAAGAGGGTGCAGGAGAGTGGGGGTCAAGGTCAGGGAAGTGGGGCTTGGCCGTGCTCTGACATCCTTCTGAGGACTGAGCAGTCAGCATCATGTTGGGAAACAGAGGGAAGAAAAAGAGTTGCTGTTATGAGAGACTCCAGTCTGAAGGGGAAGGGTGGAGAGGACAATTATACGAAACAAATATGAGCACACACTCACGCACACACACACATACCCTAGAGACATGAGAAAGGACAATTTAATCTAGGCCAAGTGTATTAATAATGAGGGAATGTGGAGTGGGTGGGAGTTGGGGGTTTGATGAGTTTTGAGGGAGCCTAGATTGGCAGAGAGGAGAGTGGGGAAGGGTCTTCAGGTGGGAGGCTCAGGGAAAGGGAAGGAGGGGTGGGGGCTGAGCAAGAACCCTCATCCTTCATAGACCTGAAGAACAAAGTGGACTTTGGGAGGTCCAGGCTGACCCTGCCTGTTCTTTCTCTCCCAGAATAACAAGACCCTCACTCTGCTTGGGGAAAGACGGGGCTATGCTCCGTTTAGCCCAGATGAGAACTCCCTGGTCCTGTTCAGTGGTACGTGGCCGTTCTGGGAAGGAGGAGGGATTTCCAAGCTTGTAGGCAAGCTTGCTGACAGCACATACACAATAAGTAAAACTTGTCTCTAACACATGTGTGTAACCCTGTGGCATTCGTTGTATCATACATTGGAACAGGAAGGGACCTTGGCAATTCTCTGGTGCAACTCCCTCATTTGACAAAGGAAGGAAATTCTCATAGAGAGGCATTATGTTCTGGTGCGTAGATCCAAGCTGGCCTTGGAGTCAGGAAGACCTGGGTTTAAATCCTGTTTCAGACACTTCCCAGTGCTGTCACCCTGGTCAAGTCATCTCAGCTTCCTCATTTATGAAATGAAGGGATTAGACTGGATGGACCTCTAAGTCCCCACCAGCTCGAAATCTCAGATACCATGACCCTGCAGCCCAGAAAAGGGAAATGATGGGCTTACGGCAAATGAATTAAAGTCTCCAATGAAATAGCCAAATAAACCAGAGGAAAACAGCTGGTGTTTTCTGTTGTGGGCCCAGTTCAGTTTCCAAGAGCCTTCCTCAAATTGTGCAATCAGAACAGTGCTTATGGGACATGATTTGAATTCAGGTGGAGCTTGGATTTGAACCCAGGTCCTCTGATTGAGATGCTTATTGAATTGAATTCAAGTCCTGTTGTGGGTAAGGGAACTGTGCTAGTTATTTCTAGCGGTCTTTCTATTATACTATGTTGCCTTTCTCTGGGAAGGAGGGAAACAGACATTTATGAAGTGCCTACTATGTGCGAGGCACTGTGCCAAGCGCTTTATAAATACCCTTATGACAATCCCAGGAAATAGATGTTATTTTTAGCCATGTTTTACAGTTAAAAATCTGAGGCAGAGGTTAAATGACTTGCTTAGGGTCACATAGCGAGTAACTGTCTGAATCCGAATTTGAACTCAGGGCTTCTTGACTCCAGTCCTGGTGATGTATGCACTATGGAGCCACCTAGCTGCCCCAAACATTCTACGGCTTGGAATTGCTTATGGGATATCCAGGGCAGTCTCCTGAGTAATTAGACCATTCACATCCATAAGTTGAAAAGCTAAGGCAATTAATTTTTATTGATCTATTTTGTTTTTATATCCTTCCATGGAGTCATCTCTTATAACAGAGAATAAAAAAGAGGGGGGAAAATCTCAGCAAAGTCAACCAGAAAAATATTCAGAAACATCTGATACCATATGTATGATATCATACCCATAGCCCCCAATTCTGCAAAGAAACAGGGGTAATTGGGAAAGCTCAGTCTTTTGGGTGGGGTGACTGTAGCCAGTGAAAGATATTGGAAGCCTCAGTAACCTCTCAGAGCGTGTGGGCTCCTATAGGGATAGTGGTGGCTGACTAGGGGCCTTCTCTCTGTCCCATCTGCAGATGACCAGGTCTACTCCACTATCAGAAAGCAGGAATATAATGGCAAGATCCCAAGGTTCCGGCGCATCGGAGGAGAGCGGGAATTGTACACCAGTGACATGGTCATGCAGAGTGAGTCAATCAGTTGACCTTGCTGTGGAATTATTATTCACCATCCCATCCCCCCTGCACCCCCCCCCCCCGCCTGCTCTGTGGGGATGGCCAGGTTGGAGTTGATGGGGAAGTTAGGAGGAGAGGACAGGAGGAGATGAAATGGATTCTTCCCTCTCCCCTTACTTGCAGGGAGTTCACAGATAATTCACACATGTGGAACAGTTGGAGGACAGCCCCGATTGTTCAGTGATTGAGTGTTAGACTGTGTGATTCAGACAGTAAGGGCTATAGGAAGTCAGGGGAGGGAGAGATTATCGAGAGCTGGAGGAGACTCAGAAGGCTTCCTGAGGGAAATGGGATGTGAGCTGGAGCGACAGTGGGGTTAGTATTTGGAGAGGCCCAGAGAAGGGTAAGTAGGTAGGAATGAGCCCCAGGTTAAGGGATGGTGGGCAGACCTGAGATTCAAGTGAAGGAGGCATGTTAGGGAGCGGAGTGAGAGCTATGCACAGGGTTGGGAGTGGTAGGAGCTTGGGGGAAGACTTTGGACTTAATCAAGGTAAAGTGGTGGGGCAGGGGAGAGAGGGGGCAAGGCTAGGTGAGGGAGGGGACAGCCAGATAGTTAAATTGGACTTTCCATGCACCTGTTGGGAAATGAAAGCTGGCCCTGTGGCTGGTGCATTTCTGGAAGAACAAAACAGAAGGCAAGGCACTCAGCATGTGTATGTGCCGTCAGCAAGCTGGGGCTAAGTGGTTCTCCTGGGAGCCCCACAGAGGAGGCAGCCCCAGTGGGGCCAGGAGTTCCTCTCTGCCCTTGGCCAGCCTGCCCTCCTGCCCTGGGGAGGGCTGATCTCATCAGGAGGCCTTCTAGCCTCCCTCCCACCAACTCATTATTGACAACCAAAACATCTGGGGAGCTTCTGGCTGTTCCCAGGGACATTAGGTCATTGTTTCTCTGCGGATGGTGTGCTCATCAGAGGTTCAAAAACAAATGCTCTTCTCCTGGGGCCTGGCCTCCGCCCCATCCCCAGTCCAGCCCTCTCAGCGTCGCACCATCACGTCTGCCGCCTCAAGTTCTTAGCAGAAGGAATCCAAGGCGCCACATATTAACACAAGCGGCTGCCTCTTCTCTAGCTCAGCAGAAGACCGATGCCTTCTTCAGCCCTCTCCCTTGATTTCCTCCTCATTCCCTTGATTCTTTCTCTCTTCCTCCATCCCCTGCCCCAGGAAAGGAATGGCCTTGAACTTCCTGCTCTTGGACGTGACTCTGAGAGCACCAGCTAGGGCACTGGCCATACGCATACGTGTAACAGGTATCTGCCTATGTAGGGTGGCATGAAGGGCACCAGGAAACCACCCCTTACCCCTTAGGAACATGCTACCCACCACCTGCGTGATGTCTAGAGTCCCCCAGTTCATCCCTTTGGGCTCAGCAGTATCGTCTCTGTCATACCAACCCAGGCGGATCTCAATTCAGTCCCTTCTTCAGGGAGGAAGAGGCTTCTCTCTCGGATAGGAGGGATTGGGACAGCAGGAGCGTTGGTGAGGAAGTCTCGGGCAAGGGCGCCAGAGCCTTGGCTCTGTGGCTGACTGCGGGTGGGGTTCTTTGTCCGTTCCAGACCCACAGTTCATTAAGGCCGCCATCATCAACCAAGACGAGGCCTATGATGACAAAATCTACTACTTTTTCCGGGAGAACAATCCTGACAAGAACCCCGAGGCCCCCATGAATGTCTCCAGGGTGGCCCAACTGTGTAAGGTGCAGCCACAGGGCTTGCTGGAGTGAGGGGGGGCTTCAGGGAGGGCCAGGCCACTCTCTGAGGGAGGTAGCCATTTCTGCTGGTGCTCTATGAGAGGCTTTATAGCCACTGGAGAGTGGACCTCATACTGAGTCATTGATCCAGTCCCACCTTCAGTGATACACCCCTGCCCTGTACTAAAAGGTAGGGTGGTCCAATGGAAAGGACTTTGGATAAGGTCCTTACTGTGTTCTAGCCTCAGCACCATCCCTAATTCACTGAGCAACCTCAGGGAACTTGTTTCCCTTCTCTTTGAGTCTCAGTTTCCCCATCTGTAAAAAAGTACCTTCCCAACTTCATGGGCTAGAGTGACCATTAAATGAGGAGATGTCAATGAAAGCACTTTGGAAAATCTGTCACTTAAGGGTGAGGCATTATTGTTATCATTATTATTATTTTTGTTGTTGTTATGGAGGCAGTATAGTCTAGGGGATAGGGAGCTGACCACAGAGTCAGGGAAAAGTGAGTTCAAGTCCTGACTCTAACTTACATTGGATGCGTGACCCAGGGTAAGTCATCACCTCTCTGTGGCCTAGGTAACGCTAAAACTCCTGAGTTTCAGAGCAAGTGCTGACCTATGTTGGCAGAGGGAGTTTCCTTATAAAGACTTCCCCATACCAATGAAATTTTAGGTCAGCCTCAATAAAAAAAAATTAAACAAAATATTGGTAGTCATTTTTATTAATAATTTTTCAGCAGAGAGATAGGGTGGGAGGAGAAGCCCCCAATTTTGTCTCTGCTCCACCCCCTATGTTGGCACCTTATCTACTCCCCTCCCATCTCTGCCCTAGACCCATTTACTTGGCAACATACTTGGAATTTGCTCATTCTGCTGGGCAGGGGTTATTTTATCACCTGGTGATAACATGGCAGGGTCCATATCTTCAGGCAATGCTCAAACCTTGATGTGACATGTCCAGTAGGGGAAACTTCCAGATAAGCCCTCCATCTTCCTCAGCCTGGGATTCCAGTAGAGTCCTCTGAGGAGTGGTTTGGGGTTGGCCATTATTACCCTTCCAAGAAGGCAGGGACAGGCCCCCAAACCCCATGATCTTAGGATTTTAGAGCTAGAATAGATCTTAGAGGTCACCTAATCCAGCCTCCCATTTTACAGAGAGGAATACTGAGGGCCACAGAAGAGAGTTGGTAGAGTTTGGATTCGAACCCAGGTCTTTCGATTCCAGACCCAGTGTGCTTTCCATTACACTTTGTTGTCCTTCCGAATTCTCTTTAGTGATCACTCCAGGAATTTCTCCAAACCCTTTGGCATGTCTTGCCTGGACACCTTGTCAGAGGCTCCAAATTCCCACAACGACTTTGCTTTCTGGGGGAAGCTGGGTAGCTTGGGACTGATTCTCAAACTTCCTTCCTTTGGTGCCAATGGGGTCATTCCATCTGTCTCTGGAACCTGGATAAAGAGTCAGAGTTCCTCTTCTCTACCCTTCTCAGACTTTCATTGGGTTATAAATCTAGAACTGAGAAGGGTCTGGTAGACTGCCTAGTGCCTAACTCACTGATTTTACAGATGAGGAAACTAAGGCCCATTTAGATTAAGTGACTTGCTCAAGGCCTTAGAGGTAGCAGATGCTGGGGATGGGATTTGAACACAACTCCTCTGACTCCCTAGTCCATTTTCTTTCCACTGCTGGGCCCCGGTGACGGTCCTTCGGCCTCTTGGTCAGATGGGCTGCTGATCTCTTGGTTGGATCCCACCTTGTGATAACCCCACATCTTTTCCCTTTTCTCCTGAGCAGGGGGACCGGGGTGGCGTGAGCTCCATGTCTGCCTCCAAGTGGAACACTTTCCTGAAGGCCATGCTGGTGTGCAGCGACCCAGCCACCAACAAAAACTTCAACTGGCTGCAGGATGTCTTCCTGGTCCCTGATGCCACGGGAGACTGGCGCTCCACGAAGGTCTATGGCGTCTTCTCCAACCCCTGGTGAGCTGGGGAGGACCGTGCTGAGGGTCTGCTTAGTGTGTCTGTGGCTGTGAGCTAAGCACCAGTTGGGGGTAGAGCAGTGGGCTTGTTGATGAGTTGGGGGGGTGGGGCAGAATCTGTTAAATTGGGGGGGGCTTAGGGAAAGGGATGAGGGCTCAGACAGAGTAGGAGTCTCACGGAGGGAGTGGGGATCTAAAGGAGGGTTGGGGAGGAGCTCGAAGAGGGAGATTTCAAGAAGGAAGGGGATGAATACTTGGGGGGGATGTTTTCAGTAAGGGGGATATGGGGCTCAGTCATAGGAATAGGGGCCCAGATGGAGAGGATAGGGCCTTTTGGAGAATGGCACATCAGGTAGGGAGACAGAGTCCTCACTGAGTGGGTGGGGGCCTTACCTCTCCCCTGCCCCACCCCCAGCCTCTGTTTCTTCATCTGTAAAATAAGGAAGTTAGGCTAGATTTCACCTCTAGAATTTGGTTCTATGATTCTATGGGGGCTCTGTGAGAGACATAGTTCCCAGTTCTGGATTGCCGGCTGTGTGCTTCCAAGGAGGTGAGGTGAGGTCATACCACCCCTTCCCGCCGCATTGGCCTCTCGAGGGGTGTTATCACACCAGACTCAATTACTATGCTCAGCTTTTTAGTTTTTGCCTCTTAATCATGCTAATCGATTGAAAACAAGAAAAAGTGTGTATGGGGGAAGGATATAAGGAGACATGGAATCTTTGGTGACAGCTGCTTCACTACTCGTGATTAGGTCAGAGTTGGAATTGTGGGGAGAAGGGGAAAATCCAACCCTGTGACCAAGAGTTTCCACGGGTGCTCAGCTCTGAGGCCCAGGAAGTAGGGTGGGGGGGGGCAGACACCACACTCCACTGGGCGGAAGGCACAGAATGAAGACAGAGATGGTACTCCATGCTTACTGGGGACAGGGTCTATATACTCATCTGCCAGGGATTCTATGTTGAGGCTAGATTGAAGGATGGCCAAGGTCCTTTCCTATGAGAAGACAAGAGAGGCCTTAGATTATAGTGGTAGGAGGGTAGGTTACCCTCTGGCTCAGTGAGGCCCTGTGGGCTGATATTGTTGCTGGTGATAAGTGTGTTGCTGAATCCTCCCCAAAGCTGGGCTAGCTGTCCAGATGTGACCAGAGGCAGGGGGCTGGCCTAGGCACTGAGACAGGGCTCTGTGCCTCCCACAGGAACTACTCAGCCATCTGTGTGTACTCCATTGGTGACATAGACCGAATCTTCCGTACATCCCCACTCAAAGGCTACAGTGGGACGCTCCCCAACCCACGACCAGGCAAGGTGAGCATCAGTTCTATGGTCCTTCCTCTCCCCCTCCACCCCATCCTCAGACATAGGGATAGAGTGCTGGGTTTGGGATTGAGGGAGGCCTGAATTCTAATCCTGCCTGAACTGGCTATCATTTAACTCTAGAATCATTTAACCTCTGTGGGAGGTTAAAATGGGACTGGTTAAGATCTATCTCTACCTCCCCACCCTATAGGGTTGTAGCCTGGCTCAAAATGAGCTGACACTAATGCTGATAAAATGTGTTACCAATGCTAAGGTATTATTTGTTGTGATTGCTGTTATCTTATCTTCCCCTCCCCACTAATCTGTGTCCTTTCTCCTTGATCTAGTGCCTTCCTGACCAGCAGCTGACACCCACAGAAACATTCCAGGTAGCTGACAGTCACCCTGAGGTGGCTCAGAGGGTAGAGCCTTTTGGGGCCAAGAAGACACCCCTCTTCCATTCTAAATATCACTACAAGAAAGTCCTGGTGCACCAAATGCAGGCCAGGAATGGGTCCACCTTTGACGTTCTCTACCTGGCCACAGGTGAGCATGGTCTTTGGGCAGTTTCTCTGAAGAACTGTCTTTGGCCTTATTCACTCTCTATTTTTTTTTTAAGTCAGTGATTTGGATGAAGGTATGAATGGAATCAGTGATTTGGGTGAAAGTGTGTGAATGACATTCTTCTCAAATTCAGGTACCACAAAATTGGCAGTAACAGTTAACATCTGTATAAATCAGGATCCCCAAATATCTCATTATCTCAGAACACTGAGCTAAAACTAATAGCCCCAAATTGGATAGCGATCAATGTAAAAGCCCTTCCCTTGTGTTCAAAAAATCCAGTGTGCAGCTACAGGGTGAGGGAGATGTGGTTAGATCAGAGCTTCTATGAAAATGACTCAGGGGGTCTTAGTGGACTGCAAGTCCAGTAAGTTCTCAATGGATGTGGCAGCCAAAAAAACTATTACCTAAGTAGAAACCAGGTCTAGTGCAAAGGAGATCGGAGTCCTTCTGTACTCTGCTTTGACCTGACCACATTTCAAGTATTGTATTTAATTCTGGATGTCATGTTTTGGGAAAGACATTGACAAAGTAGAACATGTCCAGAGGGCAGTCAGGCTGGTGAGGGGACTGGAAATTATGCCACGTGGGTGGGGGTCAGATGGAAGAACTGGGTCTGGGTGGCCTGGAAAAGACAAAACTTAGGAGGGACGTGATAGCTGTTGTGATGTATTTGGAAGGCTGTCACATGGAGGAGACTTGTTCCACCTTGCCCTAGAAAAGCAGAACTCAGAGTCGTGGTTAAATAACAGCTGTGCAGAGGCGGATTTAGGTTCAAGGTTAGGAAAAACTTACTGCAAATTTGAATGGAATTCATCCCAAAGTGGGAAGGGGCTAAATGGCCATTGACTGGGGAAGCTGTAGAGGGGATTTTTTTTGCAGGTAAAGGTTGAACTAGGGGCAGCTAGGTGGCGTAGTGGATAGAAGCTTGAAACAGGAAGATTTATCATCACGAGTTCAAATATGGCCTCAGACACTTTCTAGCTGTGTGACCCTGGGCAAGTCACTTAACCCTGTTTGCCTCAGTTTCCTTATCTGTAAAATGAGCTGGAGAAGGAAATGGTAAACCGCTCCAGTATCTTTGCCAAGAAAACCCCAAATGGAGTCACTGAGAGTCAGACATGACTGAAAAATGACTGAAAAACAAAGGTTGAACTAGATGACCTTTGAAGTTCCTTCCCACTCTGAGATTCTGTGATTCTAGAAGCAGGTCCAGGCTGTAGGATCAGACCAAGCTGATGATTTTCATTGGCTGTCCCCCATGCCTGCAATGCTCCCTCTTCATCACTGTCTCCTGGCTTCTCTCAAGTCCCAGATAAAAATCTCACCTTTTACAAGAAGCCTTTCCCAGTCTCTTCCAATTTAGCTTGTTTGTGTAGAGTTGTAAGTGTGGGGACCTTTCTTTTTATCCCCAGTGCTTAGCACAGTGCCTCGCACACAATAGGTGCTTAATAAATGTTTATTGACTAAGTCACTTCTTCACCACCCTCATCCTCCTGTTTGAGTGCTTGCTGTGTGCAGGGCTCTTTGCTAGAAGTTCTCTGTAGAGGAGGCAGGTGAGTGTGAGTGACTACAACTCCTTCCCTGGAGAGTTTTGAAAGTGTGAGAGAGCTTAAGCAGATAGACAGCATCACCACTAGTACAGGACATGGCGGAGAGGATTTCTGGGCAAATGTTAGGCTGGCTGACCTCTGAGGTGTGACCCAACTCTGGAGATTCTGTGAGTCTGAAGCTAGGACGATGGACTGAGTGGTCTCTGGACCTTCACGAGCTGCCCCCCTGGAAAACTGAGCCTCAGAGGTAAAGCCCAGCAGTGGTTGTGGTTGTGGCCCTAGCCAGAGACCCAGCTGCTGGGTGGTGAAGGCAGAGAGGGTCCTGCGAGGGGCACCAACCAGGAGCTTAGCACGGTGCCTGGTGTCTTCTGTCATGTTTCTATAGAAGAAGGGCCCAGGTCAACTTGTGCTAAACCAATTCCCCACTTCAGATGCCAGAGGGTTGGCATGGTGTTGGGGTAGAGTTTGGTCTGGGGGGAGAGCCAGCTGTCACTACCTCAGGCACCTGGGACTCCAGGGACTAGGGTAGGGTAGCGTATCTAGCCTGGGCAGCTGTAGGAGATCTTCTCTGCTGCTAGGCCTCTTTCCGGCCCTAGACCTTGAGCATGGGCCTGGAGGCCTGGGCCTTTTTGTCTCTTCCCCAGGGAGAAAGTAACAATAATCTGAATGCTTCCCATCTGTTTACCTCTTCTTCTGCCAGCCGAAATAGCCTCCTTGTATTTTCCCTGTGTAGGACATTCCATCTTCTGGCTGTGCCCTTGTCTTGGCTGTCTGTTCCCTACACATGGAACACTCTTCCTCTGGACTTCTACTTGGAGCCCCTGGTTTGCTTTAAGTCCTACCCATGGAAGAGATAGCTCCTGATTTCCCCAGTTGTTGTATTGCTTCCCTAATCAACCAACAATCACCAAGCATTTATTAATGCAGTTAATGAATTCAACGATAAATAATTAAACCAATAAATTTAATAAATGCATCAAACATTTTTTAAAATTAATTAATTTAATAATTACAGTGATCTAGACACTAGGGATATAAATACAAAGAATTAAGCAATCCCTATTCACAAGTTGGTTCTATTTGAATAGGGAAAACTAATACATATGAAAATAGATGCAGCATAAATATAAGGCTAGTATAAAATAATAAAAATATAATAATACAAAATAAAGCTAATAAAGACATACACACCAGTAGTTTGGCAGAGAGGGCACTAGAAGTAGGGGGGATCAGGAAGGGCTTCAGGCTCAAGATGGTACCTGAGATGTTTCTTTTTTAAAAAAATTAATTTATTTTGCTTTATCAACAATCACTTCCATAGGCTTTTGAGTTTAAAATTTTTCTCCCCCTTCCTCCCCACCACCCTCCCCAAGAGGACACACAATCTGATATAAGCTATACATATACATTCCTATTAAACATATTTTCACATTAGTGATGTTGTAAGGAAGAATCAGAACCAATAGGAGGAACGACCAGAAAGAGGAAACAAAACTCAACAGAAGAAAAAAAAATAGCAAATAGTATGCTTCGATCTGCATTCAAACTCCATAGTTCTTTCTTTGGATATGGATAATATTTTCCATCAAGAGGCCTTTGGAGATGTCTTAAATCCTTGTATTGCTGGGAAGGGTTAAGTGTATCAATATTAGTCATCACACAACATGGCTGTTATTGTGTATAGCATTCTCTTGGTTCTGCTCATTTCACTCAGCGTCAGACCATACAAGTCTTTCCAGGTTTTTCTGAAGTCAGCCTGTTCATCATTTCTTATAACACAATAGTATTCCATTACATTCATATACCACAACTTGTTCAGCCTAAGGATAGAGTGTGATCCAGGCAAGGCAGGGTGGCCAGTGCAAAGGAATGAGGATGGGTAATGGAGAATCATGAATGGGAGACAGAGAGAAGGACCCTTTGTCTGCGTGAGACTAGGGTAGGAAGAGTAATGTTCAGTGAGGCTGGAAAGGTGGGTTGGGGCCAGTTAAACAGAAGAATTTATATTTTATCTTAGAGGCAATAGTTGGATAAGTAGGGGAATATTTGCTTAACTGTTTCCCTGAGTAGAACATAAGCCCCTTGAGGGTAGGTTTGTTTCATTTTGTCTTGAGAGTCCAGCACAGTGCTTGGCATGTTAGAGGCATTTAATAAAAGTTTGCTGAATTGAACTGAGTTGAATTTAGGAGAAAGAAGCCCATAATTACAGTCTCCTTTCTCTCCCCCCTCCACCTCCTCAGTGCTTAGGGCAGAATTTCCCTTAGGTTGATTAAAGGACTTCGGTTAAATGTGGGCCTCTGCAGACAGTTTATTTTTGTAACGAAACTTATTTTTACAGTACGCGGGGATTGTTTCAGCTGGGACATTGTCTGATTTCCTCCTATTTACAAGCCTCAAAGTTCTCTTTTCATAGAGGTCAGGAAACCCAGGACCCACTCATGAAGGCTATTGTTTAGCCTCCTGGAAAATGGGCCTTTGAGGGGAATTGGATGCTTTCTTTGACAAGGCCAGTTCAACGTTATACAAGGAAGGACAGCCAGAATAGCCGGTGCCTTTCCTGATTCTGAGCCTGAAGCACAATTCAAAGAACCTCAAAGGAAACAAGAAACGGAGACCTTGTAGACGGGCCAGAGGGAGGGCTGTGATGTAGTAGAATGAGGACTGGAGTATGAGTCAGACTCCTGGGTTTCAATCCTGGCTCACTGATCAGCTGTGTGACCTTGGACAAAGCCTTGAAGCTTTGTGGGCCTTAGTTTCTCATCTGAAAAATCGGGGAGCTGAGCGAGAGTGTAAGATCACAGATTTATACATAGAAGAGACTTAAGTGAATCTAAGCCAAACATTCTCATTTTATAAATGATAAAACACATCCAAAGTGGTTCGTGCACTTGGCCAAGGTCATATAGCTAGTACAAGCATTGTAGCTGGGATTCAAACCCGGGTTCTCTGACTCACATCCAGCACACTTTACACTGTGAGACAGTTTCTAAAGACCTCTTCCAGACCACTCTAGGATTCCAGGTTTTAATGTTACAGAATTCTAAGATTCTATGAACAAAAGGGGACAGGGGCATATGAAAGCCTCATGGCAAGCAATACTAGGGAACCTGAAGATCTGTGAAGGGAGTGTCTCTAAGTGATGAGAATGATTAAGCGGGACAAAGCATGAACTGGCAGCCGCAAGAAGCAGGCCTAGATACCAGAAGGAGACTGTCAACCTCACTATTTGGCGTTTCAATTCAGTTCAGTTCAATTTATTTACAAGTATTTATGGCCCTACTATGGACCAGAGATTACTAGGTGCTAGGGTTATAAGGACATAAAAGAAAATATTCTGGCTCTCAGAGAGCTTTCATTATATTAGAAGGAAATGGCACAAGCACAGAGAAGTAAAAAGAAAATAGATATGAGGTAAATACAGTGTAATTTGCAGAGGACGGAGTGCAATGAGGCCGGAAGGGACCCTGCAGCAGCACCCGAGCTGATGAGCCTGGAAGGATTCTAGAAGTTCCCAGAGACAGAGATGGGAGGGGGAACATTCCAGGCCTGGGGGCAGCTTGTCAAAGACAGGAAGGTGGGGGATATAGCATAGGAGGGGAAGAGTAAAGAGGCTCCTTTGGAAGGGCTGTGAAACCCTGACATTCCATCAGAGAGAGGTTGCGGGTTTTCTGTAGCTGGTGATTGTACCAGGTGAGGGAGGCAAATCTTCACCCAGGGAGGCTTTGAGGGCAGCCAAACCCTTACTTTGTGGGTTACAAAGTAGGGGACAGAGCTGAGATTTCAACCCATAGCTTCAAATCCCTTCAGACATTGCCATTTTATGATTTTGATTCAATTCACCCCAAAACAATTCAATGCAGCAAACATTCACGTCCCTTTTAACTTGGGAATTCCATCTTTCAAAAAGTGAAAGGGAAGCACCACTTGGTCAAAGCTAAGTCTGGATCTGTCCCCTTCCCCCCAACTCCCCGCTCTGGGGAGCTTAGGACTTTGTTGCTTCCAGCTTCCAGGACTGGCTTCCTTAAGGCAATTTTTCCCACTGTGGTCACAACTGCTTGATCTCTGGTCTTCTCCCAAAGCTGTCAGACAAGCAGGTCCTACTTGCCCCAATTTTTTATCCTACCATCCAGATCCACGTCTGCCCTGAGCTAGCCATATCTTCTGGGTACAATCTTAATGAGAAAATCAGCTTCATTGGGCATGGAGTTCCTGTGGTGTATGTAATGAGCTTTCCCAGCTCTCTGTGTTCTCTGGGCTGTCCAGAGGCAGCTGACCTCCTCTGGATGACCTCTGGTTGGTCCTGAGCTCATGGCCTGCCAGCCCTCCCCAGCCTGCTTGTTTCTATGACATCCCCCTTCTCCACTCTGACTTCTCTTTTTGAGTTCCAAAGCTTGGTCACTGGGCCGGCACAGATCAATGGAGATCAAATGGAGAAGTCATCAGACTTTCAGAGAGGTTATTTCAGGCTGGGAGAGGGAAAGAGGCCCTGGGGAGAGAGGCAGGAACAAGAGGGCTGTTTTAGGTGAGCTGGACAGAGAAAGCAGGGCTCTGTTAGTGAAGTAGGACAGTTGGCCATGTCTTAGAGGTGGGTGAAGTGTGGGCTGGCCTGGAAGCGGGGGACAGCCAAGGTGACCCCTAGCAGTTTATTCTACTCCGACATACTGGGTCACAGATGATGTAGCGGACCTGGATTCTATTCTTGGTTCTGTACTAACACAACCTGACTCTAAACTTCCCTGCCCTCTGAATGGGCCTCTTAGGTGGAGGTCCTGTTGACCTTGTCCCGTCCTCCCTGCCTCCACCACCAGCAGTCCTGTGAGCCCGAGAGCCTGAGCTGGTAACTCCACAGACATAAAGGCTCTTTCCCCTTAGCCTTCCCTTCCCCATTCCTTTTGCTGCTCTTGAGATAGACTTTCTGCCCTGACACTCACATACACTGCTCCTGACCCGTACTGAGTCATGTAGGGTTAGCCTAGTATAGACCAAATGGTGTCTGGGCCCTGTGGAGGCTCCTCCAGAGTCCCCATGGCACTGCATGTCTTTCCCCTAATGCACTCTCTCTCCTCTTCTCTTCCTCCTCCTTTCCCTCTGTTTCTTCCCCTCTTCTTCCCTGATTTTTTTCCTCTTGGTTCCTGCCCTTTCCCCACCCACCCCACTTTCTCTCTACAGACAAAGGAACAATCCATAAGGTGGTGGAGTCAGACCACGGTGCCTTTAATATCATGGAAATCCAGCCCTTCCGTCAGCATCCAGCCATTATCCAGTCCATGACCCTGGACAATGTTACGGTGAGGCCTTGTGCTAGTGATGTCTTCTCCTGCTCTGGGTCCTGGCTTTGGCTAGGGAACTCCACGGTTCTGAGCCCCCTGACCTAACTCATTGACCTTTCCCCCCTCCCTAACCCCTGGGGCCGCTAGCCGAAGGAAGTGCCCTAAAGGAGTGGTGGCGGCTCATAGCCTGAGGCCTTCTTGCTCTTTCAGATGAAACTGTACGTGAACTCTCAGTGGGAGGTGAGCCAGGTGCCCCTGGACCTATGCAGCGAGTACCGAGGGGGCTGCCAAGGTTGCCTGATGGCCCGGGACCCTTACTGTGGCTGGGATGACACTAATGGCCAGTGTGTCTCCATCTACAAGTATAAAGGGTAGGTGTGACCCCCAGTCGTCCCCCAGGTGTCCAAGGAGCCTATTGATTGGCTCCACCAGATTGGGCACAAAGGATTTGCTAGTCTCTTGCTTGTAGACAGACAACTTCTTGACCTTTCCAGGGTTGCCCTGGGAGATGGGCATTCCAGGGATTATGAAAACTATTTCTTAAAATTAATTTTCATTGCTATCTTTTGTTTCTATATCACCTGCATTGCCCTCTGTATCCTTTCCCCTCCTCCCTTCCAGAGAGCCAACCCAAGTAACAAAGAATTTTTTAAATGATTTTTTTTAACTGATGAGGAAACAAGCCCATATAACAAATGATTTTTTAAGTGAATCCTTAGTTTTTTTCTTTTTAAAACTGATGAGGAACAGAGAAATGAAGTAGGATTGAAATGCCTTGAGGCAGGACTGCTTTGTTTTCTTTTTATGTCAGTCTCTAGGACAACGAAGCAGTTTAGTCTACTGGCTTCAGAGTTAGGAAGGTGTCCTGGGTTTGAGCCCTGCCTCCTGCACGTACTGGTTGTGGGACTCTGGGAACATCACTTTATTTCTTTGTGCTTCAGGCTACTCGGTTAGACTGTGTGTTGCAGAAAATGTGCCAATCTACATTGGAGGAAGGACTTTTTTATTGGAGTTTCTTGTAATGTTGGAACCATAAGTCCAGTTCCCTCCTCCCCCCCTTCCTGCCCCCCACCAAAAACCTGGGTTCAAGTCCTACCTATGAGCTATACTGGGCTGATCATTAAACGTCTTAATGCCTCTTACAATGCTCTGAGACTATCAAAAGCTGGTGCCGTTCTAGCTTCGCTGTTGGGGTTGGGGAATCAGGGATAGGACAGGGACCCAGAGGAGGGAGGACTGAGGCATTCTGGGAATGCTTGGGAAAGACAGCGGAGGGCCAGGGCCTGGCATGAGAGAGGGAGGCGTTGGGGTTGGGTGCTGGTGGTCTTGGAACAGGCAGGATAAAGAAAGGTAGACCATTGTGGGGGTGTTGGCTGAGCTCTGGGGTTGACTCATATTCTCTCCTTCACTACTTGTGTGACCTGTTGTATCCTCTGGTCTCTAGCCCCGTGTTACAGTCTCTGGGTCCAAACGAGCCACATAGGGAATGTCCATCATCTAAGTTGGGTAAGTTATACTCTTGAGTTTGGGGGAGAGCCAACGTCCTGTCCTTGGGAGTCCCTGGTCATAGGATGAATGAACGAATGAAAGGATGAATGAAAGAAAAAGTATTTAAGTGCTTACTGTGTGCCAGGCATTATATTAAATGCTGGGAACAGAGACACAAAAGTGAGACAGTTCTAACCCTTATGGGAACTTACATTCTACTGTAGGGAGACAGCATGTATAGTAGAATGCAGGTGACCAGAGAAAGTCATTTTGGTCTGGGAAGTCACAGGGAAGATGAATTGATCCACAGACCTTCTGGTTGACAAGCAGCAATGGTTGTATTGATTTGTCATTGAATTGACTGCACCACTGAATTTAGAACTGGAAGCGACTTGTATATGGCACCTGCCTTCCAGGGTTATTGTGAAGATTAAAGGAGATGGTTTTTGTTAATCGTTTTACACATCTTAAATCACCATGTAAATGCTGGTTGTTGTTGTTAGTATTAATTATTATTATGTCCTTTGCAGAGAAGAGCTCTGGTGAGGCACAGAGTGTCATCCTGGCCCGGAATTCCCGATACTACCTGACCTGCCCTGTGGAATCCCACCACGCCACGTACTCTTGGCACCATGGAGACAAGAAGGTGCATCGCTGTGAGCCTGGCTGGCAGAACTCTGACTGCATCTTGTTCATTGAGAAGCTCACTGATGAGCAGTACGGGTTGTACCGATGCAAGGCCGAGGAGGGCACCTACAGCCGCATCGCTGTTCAGTGGGAGCTGCGCAAGGAAGCCACTGCTGAGCACCTGCTGATGGGCGACAGCGCTGGGGGCCCGGGGGCCTCGCTCTGCCTCCAGCTGCTGTTCCCACTGGCTGTTTTCCTTCTATTTCAATAAGGACTCCTCTGCTCTCGACCCTCCTCCTTCTCAGGGTGTGGGACTTGGTGGCTTGCTCCTGCTCCCTCCTGCCACTTCTGAGGAGCCACTCTCTGCCCCTCTCCTCCCCCCAGGTGCCTCTCACAACAGCTACAGGCCCAAGCCTTGCCTTTACCCCTGGGGGCTAGGGCTGGGGGAGCAGAGAGCTTCTCCCCCACTTTCTTCAGGGGAATGAACTTTTCTGAGCCATAGGTCTGCTTGGGAGGCATGGGGTGTGGGGGGGTGGGGAAGGACTTGGGACGTAAGAAGAGAGGTCTGCTCTTGGCTGCACGTGGATGCTGGGCTTGTGAAGAGCCTTCCCAAGGTGGTGGGGGGAGGTGAGAAAACCACCAACGAAGGAACAAGACTGAAGGGAGTCGGGATTGTACCCCGTATCCCGGCACATTATCCCTTTACGAATGTTTAAAAGAAAAAAAACCCTTAAGCTTATTGCTCAAGGATAGACATCCTCTGGGGGTCACAGGGATGCAAAGTGGGGAAATATCCACCAGAACAGAATGGAGGGGATGTAGGGGAAAGGGCTGGACTGGGGACAGGGGCTGTGGGAGGACGAAGTATTCTCCTCCACGCTCCAAAGGGAAGAGTTTGCCAAAGGTGAATCTTATTTGGAAACTATTTTGACTCTATGCATTGGGTGTGTATGGGTGAGGGGTGGGAGGGGAATGGACGGAAGGAGAGGGCTGAGCTCTGAATCCCGAGCCTCTGCCTCAGTTGGAGCCCTGGCACCCAGACTTGGCCTACCTCCACGGTCCTTCTGTGCCCTAGCTGCCAGAGCTGGCCTCTGATCCATCTTGCCCCTGCCCAACTCCGTGGGCAGGCCCCTCTCCCCATTGGAGGTCTCTTTACCCGTGGGCCCGGGACAAGCTGGTGCATCCCCAGGGGAGGGTGTGCCGTCCAGATGTCCAGGCTGGGTCCCTCCCCCTTTTGGGGGGAAAGGGGAGGGCCCTCTGAAGCTTGCATGTTTATCTAGGGATGTTTCTTTTCCTGTAGGAAAGGACTTTATTTGTATTTGTTTAGCTTATTTTAAAGTTTGACAACTTCCAACTGCATCCAAATGAATCTTAAACAGTGAAGGGAAGGGTGGGGGTGGGGGTGGGGATTAGGTGTCCCAGCCTAGGGCACCTGGGGTTGGAGTCATAATCCAGAGATGGCTTAGTTTAGGGGTATAGGGAGGGAGGGAGAGGGTGGGGACCGAGAGGAGGAGGACTGTCTGCAGAGATCTCCTTGGAGACCTTGGGGAAGAGTTCCAGGGGCTTGAGTTGTAGCCGGCCCTTCCTAAGCCTGGAGTTAGGGTCAGGTTCAGGGCTAGGAAAGGCAGGACAAAGAACGGTGTTGATCTGATAGGGGAGACAGCCCCCAGCCCCAAGGAACTCCAGGCTTTAGGGGAAGGACTATTCAAACCAGCTCTGGAGTCTCCCTAGAATGATAGTCATGGGGTAGGTATTCCCCATGACTTGGAAATTGAGGGAATTATTGGGGGAAAAGGTTGGGGATGGGGTGGGTGGGACAAGAATGAAGGAATATATGTATATAATATATATGTATATATATATATTATATATAATATAATAGGTCCAAATTTCATGGTGTTCATTGGGAAGGGGTTTGGTCCTCATGGGTAATGAGGGCCTGGGCCTCTGTTGACCTTTGGAGTTGAGGGTTGGGGATGAGAAGGGGGGCATCCCATTCTAATCCCCTCTGGTGTCCCCTCCCCAAGGGCTGTGCTTCCATCCGGGTTCATGCCTTCAGCTCAGGTCATATTATAACTTAGGATAAACTGTGAACCCCAGAAGGAGCTTTCCCTGGGGCTGTGAAGGCAAGAGTACCACTCCCCAGGGCTTTGGAGCAGGGACTCTCAGGGCCCTTGTTCTTGTCATTTCAGTAGCAAGCCCAGGCAACCTTCTTCCTCTGTGCCCCATGGGCCCAGGCCCAGGAACCTGGAAACCTTGGGTCTGCTATATCTCCTCTTGATGCACTTTAATAATGTAACATATTACTAATAAACAAGCTATTTATTTACGTGTGTCTGGTCGTTGACTGGCAGAACACTGTCAACAGAGGCCTGGAGGGGTGGGGGGCTACTTCCAGGTCTGGGGTCTGCGGCCAGGACTAACTCCTAGAGACTTTTCTTGATCTCAGTTGACTTCCCTTGCCCAAAGGTGAGGAGATGTGAGTTTTAGCCCTTGCCATGTTACATTGGACAAGCCTCTTTACCTCCTGGGTCTCAATTTTCTCAGCTGTCAAATAAGGATATTATTTGCCCAGCCTATCTACTAGGGATGGTATAAGAATGAAATGAAGGAATGAGTGGACAGTTCTCCACTGAGGCAAAAATCTTGGTATTAGTATTAAAAAGAGTTAGGAGGCCTCTGGGAAATTTTGTGTATTTGAACCATACAATCAAAGGCAAAATAACATACAAATCAGATTGTGGCAGAAGGTGGGGATTGGAAAGAAGGCCACAGTTTTTCTCCCTCCTTTTCTTTGCATATACTACCCTCCCCACCTCACCCCTTCAACCCCCAACTCATGCCTTGGCTGACTGTCTAAACAAGGAAGCCAGCTATAGAAATGCGTTTTATGGATCTGCCAGCTAGGGACAGTCCTCTCTTCTCCCTTCACTTCATGTCAACATCCTCACTCGACAAGCAGTGGCAAGACTTCTAATGTCTGCATCAGGTCCATGTGGCATTTTAGAACTCAAGGTCAGAAAAAGAGTTGGGAATTGGTCCCATGCTTTTTTATGTCTTCCCCTCACCTCCCATCCATCCTTTCCCTTAAGGGAACAAAAGAGCAACGAAACGAAATTGGGCGGAAATGTAGCGGAAAGGGGGCTCATCCTTTGGTTACTTTCAGGCTCACTGTGGTTGTTTTGAGGTAGTCTCTACTGTTCAGCTCTGAGCCTGACCCCCCATCCAATTGTTTGCTGTGTACTAGACCGTGCAAAAGACACAGATCAATAACAAAAATGTGTAATTAGTAAATGTGAAACAATGCAAATGATGAAGAAGCTCATCAAATGGTAAAATGCCTAAATGGGGGGGGGAGGGAATCTATTATTGCTCCAAGGAAGTTAAAATCAATTTCTCTTTTAATCCCTCTGATTCTCCAGCAAAGATGGTGAGGAGGATATAGTTTTTCTTTAAAATTTGCATGGTAAATAATAGTGGGCATTGTCATCTGCCTTTTGTTTTCCAGGTGTTTCTCGTAGTGGACTAGAAAATAATTGAAGCCTCTTGTCTCAGCTCTGGAGTATCATGGGTCAATAACGAATCCATGTCTTGGGGCATCATGCCATACTGCTCCATATGGCTTCTCTACCATAGCTCCATGTCCTAATGCCCCTAGGTGTGCTTGGGCTGCTCATTCTATTGTACCCACCCCGTGTGGCTAATAGTCACTTCTCTCCTACCTTACGAATCATTCCTTACCAGAGACCTCTCCTGATGACATCACCACTCACAGCCTTTTTGGGGATCTAGTCCAGGCAGTCTCTCCCAATGAGTGATGTTCTCTTTGCTCCAAGCATTATGGGAAACTGAGATGAATGAAAAGCCCAAGAGACAGGGTTTCTGGGTAATTAGTAATCAATTTATTCATTAGGTTAGCAAATAATAAATTGATGATCAATGGTCTTTCTTGGTAGACCAAAAGATGGAGACACTGAATGCTTAAATACCTTTGGAAAAGGAGGTGCCCCTCAGAGGAGAAAATCAATCCAGATGGGTGAACAAGTAATGAGGGGATGGATATTTTCATCACCCTTGTCCTTCGGAGATTGACCAACCTGCAAGGACTGCTCCCTGAATGAGAAAATAGAAAGGAAAAAGCCTCAATCCTAATTTGGTTATTAATAAAAATAGAAAAATAATCATTTCTCTCAAAATGAAGTCCCAGGAACCTGCCTTTTAATCTCATTCATCCAATTGGATCAGTTGCCCAGTTCTATTAATTACATTGAGGCAATGGGGTGCAGAGTCTCAGAGCTGGAAAGCATCATAGAAGCATCTAGTTCAAACTGTACCTGCACAGGGATCTCTTAGCATCTCTGATAAGTGGTCCAGTGTCTTCTTGAAAGTTTCCAGGAAGAGGGAACTCCTTGCCACTGATTCCACTTTTGCTCCATTCTAATTGTCCTTATATCAATCAGTAATCTCACACATTTATTCAACAAGTATTGATGCCTCTACCATGCTCAGAACACTGTGCGTAAGTGCTATATCACACATCGAGGACATATAAAAGACATGGTATGGTCCCTGATCTCAAGAGCTTCTTGTGTCCAATCCCTTCTACTCCTGTGCTCACCTCCCTAGCTCATGAGGAGCCTCATCCCCTTTCACCTGGACTAGTGTACCAGCCTCCCTGCCCAGAGTCTCTTTCTTTTTCAGTCTATCGTCCTATAGCTGCCAATATCTTTATAATGCACAGGTCTTACCATTCCACTCTGCTGCTAGGGGAAAAAAAAATCCTGTGTCTCCCTGTATGTTCCAGGACACTCCTGCCTCATACATTTTGGCCACCATGTTTTTGCTCAAACTCTTCCATTTGCCTGGAATACCAAGCTGAAACAAAGCAAAGTGTTCTGTAATGGTCTTCATTCATATGGAGATAGTGAGAGGTACTACAAGCCTTCCAAGGAGGAATGAGACAACCATGTCCCCTCATTCTAGCCCACCCTAAGCCCCCATGAAAAGATATTAATGATTAAAAGGACCCAGTTATCATAGGTTTCATCACCAACCATTCCCAGGACCTCTCTGTCAACTCATCCCCACCTCAATTTAATTCCAGTCAACCAACATTTATTAAGAGCTTAATATATGCAAGGCCCTAGCAATACAAAGATAAGTTCAACACAGGTAATATGGGAGAGATCTGTGATTTCTTCTGGAGGAGAACTGGTGTAGGATCTTTCCCCACTGAAGAAGCTTTACAGATCAGAATCTATTTGTGGTTAAGTAGATAAATCCAGGTGGTGGTGCCGTGAATAGAGTGCCCAGCCTGGAGTCAGGAAGACTCATTATCCCGAGTTAAAATCTGACCTCAGACACTTACTATCTGTGTGACCTTGGGCAAGTCATGTCACCCTGTCTGCCTCAGTTTCCTCATCTGTAAAATGGGCCAGAGAAGGAAATGGCAAATCATTCCAGTATCTTTGCCGAGAAAACCTGAATGGGCTCATGGAAGAGTCTGAAATCTGAACAGCAACAGATAAATCCTTGGGCATTACCTGAGGCACATAGAGATTAAGAGACTTGCTCAGAGTCATTTAGCTAATGTCAGAGGCTGAATGAGAACCCAGGTCTTTATGACACAAACCCAGAATGCTATTTACCTCATCATGCTGCCTCTAATAGTGGACATTTTCATTATGTTTTTAAGGTTTTCAGAGCACTTTGCATTATATTATCTCGTTTCAATATCATGGAAACCTGTGAAGGAGGTAATATAGGTCAGAGACATAACTAGGGCAAGGCATTAGGTACTTTGCCCCAGGGTACTGACATGGGAGAGGGGTACTTCCTTGCTATAATGTTATTCTACCCAGAAAGGAGGACAAGCAAAGGGCAGGACATGTTAGGTTCTGGATAGGATGGACCCAGGAAAAGGAATAGTCAGGGTATGGTGAGGCCCTCATCTTCTCAATTGGGTATGGCCCCAGACAGATGTGTTTTGGTTCCCAGGAAGCCTGGGCACAAGTAGCAGCCTGGGAACCAGTTCCCTGAGTACCACCCACCCACCTGCGGAGATGAGCTGGGGATGTGGAGCTAGGATGCTCCTGGAAGGGCATATTCTTCTTCCTTCCACATTCCACCTGAGAGAGGGTCAGCATGGCTACAGAAAAACAGTGAGCTGCCCAGAGAGAGAGGGCACTTGAGCTCCACAGACTCCTTGGGGTCAGGAGCTTGGTTGTGTGACTCAAACAAACAATTATAAAGTATTTATTAAGCTGCTACTGTATCCCAAATGCAGCTAAGCACTGAGGGGAAAAAGAAACAAAAAAGGAAATAACCCTTACCCAGGATATAGTTTTTTCCCTCATTCAGGATGGGGAGAAAAGTAACACAGATACCAGGTTGGGAAGTGGTCCCTTGGATCAAAGTCAATGGCACCTTTCCCCTCCCCTCAAGGATCAGAATATCTAGTTATGGTCCTGCTATAGGTCCTGTTATCAACCGGAGGGAGGAATTTCATGGCCCATCACAGAGCTCTGTGCTGAGCCCTGTTTCATTCAACATTTTTATCAGTGACTTGCTTAAAGACAGAGAGGACATGTTCCTCAAATGATGATGTGAATCTGGTTGGGATGAGACTGGATGAGGCACTGGATAGCAACATCAGAATCTAAAAAGATCTCAAGACACTGAAATTAAGGGGCATACTATGAGTCAGGAAATTTAGCCTTGCTCTTCCTTTGGTGATCTTGGGAAAGTCATTTCCTCTCTTAGGTCTGTTTCCCCATTGGTAAAATGAGAAAATTGCACTCCAAAATATATATTGTCCAGTTCTAATATTCTATGATTGGTTCCATGATCTCATTTAGCAAGGATTAAATGTAAAGTCCTGCTTTTATATTTAAAAAAAAAGACTGCATATATATGTAAGATTTCCCATTTGATGGAGAAAATCACTGAGGCTCAGAGAGGTTAATGATTTGTACAAGGTCATATAACCAGTAAGTCATCAGGGTAGGGGAAACCAAGTCTTCTCATATACAAGTCTAGCACTTTATCCACAACATTGTTCTCAAGGACCAGGTTCTGGCAAATTACCATGAGAAACTTGGAGGGAGAAAATCCTTTGGGCTGGGGTGGAAGGAAGTGGAAAGAGGCTCCGTGGACCTGGAGGCTCCTGAGTTGGGCCTTGAAGGATGGGCAGGGACTGTTCTCTGTTTTGTTTTTGTTTTTGTTTTACTATTTATAGAGTTGGCTGAGAAGGAAAGATGAAATGATACCTGGCCTGAGGCATGCCACTGGGGACCATTGACCAATGTGTTTCCCACATGACCTACAGATCCTGGGGATGGAAGTTACTCTTTTTGAATAAAGAAATTTGGAGGAGGGAACAGGCCAGGAGTTGTCACTCTGGCTGGGTTTCTGTGGGGAAAAAGAAAACAACACAAAACAAAAACCATTCTCTGTCCAGATGGGACAGTGTATCAAGAAGGCAGAATTCACCCACAGAAAGAAAAGACAGATGTTTCCTTTGGTTTTGAGAACTCGGAGAAAGGGAGGCTTCAGACACATTCTTGGGGTCAGTGAGTAGGCTCTGAGGAGCCTGTGGAAGACAGAGCAAGACTAGGCTTTGTGGGGTTTGGCCCTGATCCCAGCAAAGCCTGGACTCACTAGATGGTGTACAGACAAAAGAACACTGGCTGGATTGAGGAACCTGGGTTCAAATCATGTCTTTGATGCTTGCTCTTGGCATGACATTGAGTAAATCACTTCACCACCACAGACCTCAGTTTCCACATCTGTAAAATGGCCTCTGAGCTCCCTAGATCTATGATCCTATGGTCTTATGCCTGTAGGCAAGCCATTGCCTGTCCCAGGGCTCTCTCCAGCAGAACCTTGAGGACCATCTGTAAGACATAACTAGACTGGGGCCCTATCTCAGAGATGGTGAGGACCATCTCTAGAGCTGATTGGGCCCTTGAGATGAGTGGCAGGGTGTCTGGGTCAATGATATTGCCTCTCCCCAGGAGAGATGAAGGCAGTAAGCATTGTTCTGAGAAGGTCTCCCCCAGACCTCTGAAAGGGCTCATGACTCACAAAGAGCTAAGACCCCCTGCTCTAGAGAGGAGCAGACTTGGAGGGCTGTAGCTGAATTGGAAAGCTTCAGGACCTGAGGGTCGCTGAGTGTGAGATTCTGGCAGATTTGCTCTGTGTGAATTATTGATTACCTGACCCCATTGTGTTATGCTCAAGTTCATATATTTTCTCTTCTGTTGTAAACAAATCCTAGAACTTACTAGGGAAATTCTAGAAAATGGAGGTGTGGATGAGGAAGCAGTGTGGTGTTAGCAGGAAGAGTCAGAGGACTGTCCGAGGACACTGACTACTTGTGTGACCTTGACCAAGTCCCCTGTCCTCTGGGGTCTTAGATTTGTTATCTATAAAATAAAGGGGTTGGGACTAGAAAGCCTTGGCTGTTCATTCTAGTTCTAGACCTACAATCGTACTTTTGAAGATGAGGAGCCGGGCAGGGGCAGCTAGGTGGCACAGTAGATAGAGCACCTGTCCTGGAGTCAGGAGGACTTGTGTTCAAATCTGGCCTCGGACACTTACTAGCTGTGTGACCCTGGGCAAGTCACTTAAACCTGATTGCATTTAAAGGGGAAAAAAAAGAAGGAAGTGCTTCAGCAAGGAGCTGAGTCCAGGGGAGGGCCCGTCATGCTCTCAAGGTAACTGGCTTTCTGGGGGCATTGGCTGTCCCTTCTTCCCCTCCCTCTCTTAGTCTGAAGACAACAATGTATTGAGCAAGTGTTTGTTGATAAGGAAAACAGGAGCAATTAGACAGAACCATGTAAGATGCTAGGCCATAGGCAGGCATAGAATGTGGGTGGGGTGTGTGGGCATAGATAAGTAAGCAAGGCCATCCCAGAAGGGATATTATGAAAGACCTCCACCTTGAATGTCCAGACAACTGCAGACTAAGCCGTCCACTCAGCTTCTAGTTCTTTCCAGTGTGAGTCTTCCCTTTTCTGACTCCTCCTTATCGCCAGCCTTGGAGGGGGAAGGGGGGCTCTCAAACTTGATTGGGGTGGCTATCTCAGTAAGCAAGTCCCCTCTCTATTATGGAAACCAATTTTCCCAAATCATGAGTAGAGCATGTACTGCTTATGGATTATCACCTTGGGGTCAAAGTTGAATAGGGAGCAGCTAGACGGCACAATGAAAAGGGCACTGGGCCTGGAGTCAGGAAGACTCAACTTCTTGAGTTCAAATCCAGCCTTGGACACTTCCTAGCTGTGTGACCTTTGGCAAGTCACTTTAACTCTGCCTCAGTTTCCTCATCTATAAAATGAGCCAGAGAAGGAAACGGCAAAGTGTTCCAGTATCCTTGCCAAGAAAACCCCAAAATGGGGTCACGAAGAGTCAGACACAACAGAAACAACTGAATAACAACAAACAGTTGACTAGTAAGAAATTGGGCTGGCTGTGGGAAACCACACAGTGCTTTCAGAGATCTCAAGTTTCTTGCTTCTGCCAAAGTTCATCTTTTTATGATTTTTTTAAAAATAAAAAATATTGATGCTTTTATCTCAAAACTATCTTCATTTCTGAATATGTCCCTTCCTTTACTAACCATAGAATGATCTGTTCTAACAAAGACTAGAAAATAAAAACATTTTCAGGTAGCTAGGTGGCACACTGGATCGAGAGTTAAGAAGACCTGAGTTCAAATACTGCCTCAGACACTTACTAACTTGTCTGACCTCGGGCAAGTCACTTAATCTCTTTGAGTCCCAGTTTCCTCATCTGGAAAATGGAGATAAAAATGGCATCTATCTCACAGAATTGTTTTGAATGTCAAAAGAGGTAATATTTGTAAAATGCTTTAATTTATATAATTGAATAATTTACTATTTATTATAATTTAATAATATTTGTAAAGTACAAACATCAAAGCACTATATAAATCCTTGCTATTATTAAAATGACAAAAATGTAATTCACTAACATTGCTCAATACATCAATCAAGTCTGAGAAGATATGTAATACTTAACTCCCAAAGTCCCTCTGCCTCTTTGAAGAAGGGTTTCCTCATCTCCTCTTCAGGGTCAAACTTAAGTCATTGTAATTATACAATGTTCAATTCTGTTTCATTATCTTATCTATGGCCACTGTTGCAGTCATTATGTAAGCTGTTTTCTTAGCTCTGCTTACTTTACCTGTCCCAGTTCATGTAGATCTTTCCATATTTCCAAGCTTTATATTCATTGTCTCTCATGACATAGACATTTTCTGTTATATTCTGTTATAGTCTATATGATGTAGACATATTCTGTTATATTCTGTGCCAGTTTGTAAAACCATCCCCCAACAGGGAGCAGAGACCATCTTTTTAATGCCCAGATTTTCCCATGATATTATTTGGCTGTGGATTATGAAATACTATGATCTCAAGAGAAATATAACAGCAAGTGACCCAAAGGATGGCTCCTCTGTATAAAGCCAATTAGATTTGAAATACTCATGGCAGGTGGAAGCCCGCTTCAGTGTATTACCAATGAAGACTTTAATGCAGTAAGTGGTCTGAAGGACATGTTCAAGGACATGTCTGACAGGAATATGTTGGTAATAGTTTGCACTTACAGTTTGTGTTAAGTCTTGCAAAGTGTCTTACAAATGTTATTTCATTTAATCCTTACAACAGCCTTGTGAGGAAGGTGCTACTATTATCTCAATTTTATAGATGAGGAAACAGCCTAAGAGAGATTAAGTAACTTCCCCTACCCACACAACTGGTGAGTGTCATTGCTACTTCCTTGAATCTGTGATCTCATTAATGTAGGTAACTCCCTCCATCTTAGAGACTGCAGTTCATCTTTGTTGTCTTGTCCTATGTGACTCCTGATCATGCCTGGTAAATTCTACACAGAGGGTTCACCCAACATGGTGGCCAGCCCTTCCTCCAGATCTTTTGATATTGTGCAGATGCTAATGATGGAGCATACGACCTATCCTTTCATTATTGGTTGTTCTTTTTGGGTGACTGGACTACTTCCTTTTCTGGCCAAATATCTCTCAAAGAAAGAAAACAAACATCACCACCACAACAAAAGAATTACAGAATTGAGAGTGAAAAGGGACCACTAAGGCTATCTAGCTCAACCTATACCCCAGGAAGGAACCCTCATTATAACATGGACAGTAAGTGGCTACTCATCTCATGCCTAACAACTTCCATATACAAAATTTGGTCCCTTTCCCCCCCTACTTTCTGAGGTAGCCTTTTCCAATAATATCTAGCTCTAATTGTTGGGATGTTTCTAATGAAGGAGCAGAGGAGAATTTAATCTGTACCAGGAGGTTGGAGAATACAAGAATGGACCACAGAGGAGAAGGGGAGGAAGGGCCATTGGAAACTTGGAGCTAAGAGAGAAGCATGAGGATTTCCCCAAAGATGAAGGTGGTTGATACCTGGAGGAGGAGAAGAAGAAGGAAGCAGCAGCCTGTCCTTCAGGTAAGGATGATTTGAGGTTCCAGATGCTGCTCAGTAAGACTGTTCAATGTGAGTTAAAAGACATAGATGCAAGGAGTAGCTTGTGACTCTTTGTTAGAGGCAGCTATATGATGAACAGAAGTCCTCTGTCTTCTCAGGGCATGGATCCAAGATATGACAGACTTATCAAACTGGATGCCTACTATCCAATTCTGATAATGTATGTGAGCACGGTGGTCTGAAGGAACGTAGAAAGTATTGCTAAAGATTGTGATATCTTGGGTAAGAAATTGAACCCCTTAAGGGCATAGGTCACAGGATCATAAATCTATAATGGGCCTCAAAAACCGTCTAGTCCAATTCCTACATTTTACAGATGAGGAAACTGAGGCTCAGAGAACTTCAGAGCATCATGGAGTTAAAGTTGGAAGGGACCTTGGACCAGCCTGATTTTACTGATAAAGAAACAAGGCCCAGAGGCTTTTAAGTGATTTGCTCAGTCACAGAGGTAGTAAGTGGCAGAGCTGGGTTTCAAACTTATGGCCTCTATTTCCAAATCCAGCGGTCTTTCCATTGTACTATACTGCCTCCAGTTTTTTAATCACTGATACCCATTGAAGATAAGAGCTTTAGACAAGAAAGGCAGGTTTGGGAAATAAGAAGCTAGTTAAGGAGATGGTGAACAAGAATAGAAATTGGATTTTGGGACCATTGCTTACAATATTGGAATGATGGGTTCTTGGAGTGCAACTAAATTAGACTGATAAAATTGTATTTGCCTGTAGTCTTGCAAACTTAATCAGAAAATATTTTAACTGAGAAGGAAAGGGAAGGAGAAAAATGCCTACACATATTCACCAACGGAGACAGCAAAGAGTAGCTATGTTATTCAGGAGATGGATAGCATTTGAGATACCCTCAAGATTATCAGTGTTAAAATCTAAGAAAGAAGGAAATTATAAAACCCATGGCTTCAGATATCTACACTGTACACAAATATACAGAATATGGGAAACAAGCAAGATTAACTACAAATCCTGAAACAAGGAGGTATATTTGACCTCATAGGCCTTGCTGACACTTGGTGTGGGATGGGATTCATAACTGTAATATATGTTGGGAAGGACATACCGTATTCACAAGAAACTGGATAGGTAAAGGAGAAGTAGTGGAGACGTAGCTTTGTACATTAAGAAGACATATTCGTGTGAGTGGTGGATCAGTGGAATAGATTGGGTATACAAGACACAGTAGTCAGTGACCATAGTAATCTGGTGTTTAATAAACCCAAATACTCCAGCTTCTGGGATAAGAACTCACTATTTGATGAAAACCACTGGGAAAACTGAAAACAATAGGATACAAACTGGGTATAGATCAACATCTCACACCGTGTACTAATATAAGATCAAAATGATTGCATGATTTAGATATAAAGGGTGACACCATAAGCAAATTAGAAGAACAAGGAATAGTCTACCTGCCAGATCTGTGGAGAGAATTCATGACCAAACAAGAGATAAAGAGCATTACAAAATGTAAAAATAGATAATTTAGATTGTGTTAAATTAAAAAGTTTTTATACAAACAAAACCAATGCAACCAATATTAGAAGGAAAGCAGAAAGCTGGGAAACAATCTTTACAGCAAGCGTCTCTGATAAAGGCCTCATTTCTCAAATATATAGAGAACTGAGTCAAATTTATAAGAATACAAGCCATTTCCCAGTTGATAAATGGTCAAAGGACATGAAGAGGCAGTTTTCAGATGGAGAAATCAAAGCTATCTATAGGCATATAAAGAAGTGCTCTAAATCACTTTTTAAAAATAATTAATTTATTTTTAGTTTTCAGCAGTCACTTCCCCAAGCTTCTGAGTTTTAAATTTTCTCCCCCTCCCTCCCCACCTCCTTCCCCAAGACAATGTGCAATCTGATACAGGCTCTACATATACATTCCTATTAAACATATTTTCACATTAATCATGTTGTGAGGAAGAATTAGAACCAATAGGAGGAACCACAAGAAAGAAGAAACAAAACAAAACAGAAGAAAAAAAAAAGATCAAATTGTATGCTTTGATCTGCATTCAAACTCCATAGTTCTTTTTCTGGATGTGGATAACATTTTCCATCATGAGACTTTTGGAGATGTCTTAGATCCTTCCAATGCTGAGAAAAGCTAAGTCTGTCAAAGTTAGTCATCACACAACATGGCTGTTACTGTGTACAGTGTTCTCCTGGTTCTTCTCACTTTACTCAACATCAGTCCGTGCAAGTTTTTCCAGGTTTTTCTGAAGTTCACTTGCTCATCATTTCTTATAGCACAATAGTATTTCATTACATTCATATACCACAACTTGTTCAGTTATTCCTCAATTGATGGGCATCCCCTCAATTTTCAGTTCTTTGCCACCATAGAAAGAACTGATATAAATATTTTTGTACATGTGGGTCCTTTTCCCATTTTTATGATCTCTTTGCGATACGGCCCTAGAAGTGGTATTGCTGGGTCAAAGAGTATGCACAGTTTTATAGCCCTTTGGGCGTGATTCCAAATTGTTCTCCAAAATGGTTGGTTCAGTTCACAACTCCACCAACAATGCATTTCTAAATCACTTTTGATTAGAGAAATGCAAATTAAAACAACTCTGAGATACCACCTTATACCTATCAGATTGGCTAATATGACAGAAAAGGAAAATGATATATATTGGAGAAGATGTGGGAAAATTGGGACACTGATGCACTGCTGGTGGAGTTGTGAACTGATCCAACCATTCTGGAGAGCAATTTGGAACTATGCTCAAAGGGCAACCAAACTGTGTGTACTCTTTGACGCAGCAATACCACTACTAGCTCTGAATCCCAAAGAGATTATAAAAAAGGAAAAAAAGGATCTACATGTGCAAAAAATATTTATAGCAGCCCTTTTTTTTGCAGTGGCAAAGAATTAGAAATGGAGGGAATGCCCATCATTTGGAGAATGGCTGAACAAGCTGTGGTATATGAATGCAATGGAATACTATTGTGCCATGAGAAATGATGAATAGGCAGACATCAGAAAAATCTGGAAAGACTTGTATGGACTGATGCAGAGTGAAATAAGCAGAAGCGGGAAGACATTGTACACAGTATCAGCAACATTGTTTGATAATCAGCTAGGAAAGACTCAGCTCTTCTCAGCAACACAATGATTCTAGACAAGTACAAAGAACTCATGAAGGAAAATGCTATCCACATGCAGATACAGAACTGATGGACTCTGAATGCAAATTGAAACATATTTTTTCCACTTACTTTATTCTTTCTCATGGGTTTCCTCCCCTTTTTGATCTGTTTCTTCTTTTACAACTGTAACTAATATGGAAATATTTTTATATGATAGAACATGTATAAACTATGTCAAACTGCCTACCATTTTCAGAAGAGGGGAGGAGAGGGAGAAAAATTTGGAATGCAAAATCTGGTAAAAATAAATGCTAAAAATTTTCTTGACATGTAACTGGGGAAAAATAAAATACTATTAAAGTTAAAAAAAGATATATTCATGTGAGAGGATCCAGCCACCATAGTAGGGAAGCATTGCAGAGAGCATGTGAATATAGATCAACAAAGGCAGAAACAGAAGTGATACTGTTATTGGATTATGCTAAAGACCAACTGGGCAGAAAGAGAAAATTGATAAAGGACTTTGGGAAAGAGATTACAAACTACCACAGAAACATGGTGTAGGGGTGATGGGAGTGGATAAGACTTCAATTATCTATCTTCAGTGTAATTCTCTCTTTCTCTCTCCTCTTTTCTCCCCACTCTCTTCTTCTTTCTTCTCTCTCTCTGTCTCTCTGTCTCTCTCCCCCTACCCAACATCAGAGCAACTAATAATTTTTTTTTGGACTTACCTTAATGATGGTTTCCTCCTTCAAAAGGTAGAGGAGCCAACAAGGGGAAATTTTATCTAGAACTATTCTTACTAACAAGGAGGGATGGATTGCTGGGCTGGAACCTTGAGAGGAAGTGCATCTACCATCTTAGAATTTGTGAGAGAGAAGGAGAAGAAAGATAGAAAGAGTCTGGCATGCATTCTAGACTTGGAAAGAGCAGATTTCAAAGCGTTCAGAGAAAGAATTGGCAGGATCCCATGAAACAAACCTATAGGGGTAGTGAGTTAAAGAGGTATGGGAAGCGCTCAATAATGAAATTCTAAATTCACGAAGTTAAACTATCCCAAATCCCAAAATCCCAATGAGGCAGAAAAGGAACAGTTGTTTAAAGAGGCTGATTTGGATACATAAAGAACTTAGGAATAAGCTTGGAGTTTTAAAAATATAGAAAATAAAAGCAAGTTCGGTAACTGAGGATGACTACTAGAGTGTGGTATGTTCCTGGAAAAAGGGCTGAAGCTCTGAATATGCCAAAGCTAGTGAAGAAAGCAAAGGACTGCATGAACTATTGGCTTTTAAAAATCTACATTGGGGAAAAGAGAGAACTCAAAAAAGAAGTAGGACCACTACACAGGGTAGATGAGGTAGTTATAACTGACAATAGGGAGAAAGCAGAGCTGCTTAACCCATATTTTCCCCTCTTTTCTCTGCTAAAGACAATGATCTTCGGATTGGGAAGGATATAAGCAAAATGCTGATGGAAGTTGAATAGTGAGCTCAAACTCTCAAGAGCCAATAAGGAAGATTAAATTTTAAAGCGTGTCCTATGTATATTTTTATTTTGAGAATTGGTTGTTAACCATTTATCGGCATGCCTCTGTTTGATAGGCAAGATAAATAAGAAAAAAGAGGGTACTAACCTGTTCTAGATGAGATCATGTGACACCCAGCCCAGACAAACAGACATTATTACTGAGCTGCTGTTGGTGATATTTGAAAGATCATGGAAAGAAAGGGAATGCACGGTATCAGAGGAAGCCAAATGGCTGCCCCATTTTCCAACAATAAAAAGGGAGGAATTTGGCTTTGTTAACCAGGGAACTGGACTCTGATTCTTGGAAAAAATCTAGAATGGATTA